AATCGACGGCCTGCGGGAGGTCTACATTCAGAGTTCCAGCAACCCAAATGGAGAGGTTTGGGTCGGGTTAGAGGCAGTGTGGTGCGGAGCGGAGAAAGGAGATTATGGGGCTGTTTGGTATAGCTAATGTTAAAATTAAATAAATAACGGATAGCTAATGTTAAAATTTTACGGTATACCCGTTGGATGAAGAACAAGTGCTCCCAGACCGTCCATGGTTGCTAAACAATCAAATTTGCAATTTGCGGCTCTGATTTTCTACACGAGAGATTGAGTGGGACCCGAGAGTGATGTGGCAAGATCTTGATGGAATGAATTAGATGGTCTTTTGACGTTTGCTGGACCTGGTTTTCTTCTTCCTTTTTTTTTTTTTGGTGACTTATATACTTCAATTAATTCCGATTATTTGATTTTTTTATATTTTTTGGTTTTTGCTAAATGGGAAGTTCCTTTAATATGACAATTTGCCTAGCAAAACCTCCAACAAAGCATCTATATTAGCAAAAACAATTTAGGTTAGACGCAGAAAAGGGGTTGATGAGCAAAATGTTAAAACGTAATGGATTAATTATGTCAGGATTGATTATGTCAGGCTTAAAAAAAGGGTTGACTTGTCATCGCAGACGAGTTGAAGGATTAGTTTATGCATGAATTAAGTTGAGGGATTGATTTGCCACCAATCAACGAGTTGCGAGGTTAATCTCCTAATAAAAATAATAGTTGGTATCGTGTCGGTACGAGATTAGAGAAACAAGGTAAGCTTTGAATTTGACTCTAAAGCAGTGGTAGTTGGAATGGATTAAAGGTTGATGAAAGTTTGTTGTGGAGAAACACTTTCTTTAAAGATTTAGACAAACAGGTGTCAGGCTTTGTGATGTATAGCATTTCATGGTGTAGCTCCAATATGAATGCATTGCCTTTGGAATTGGAAAAACGGGTTATAGACTTACCCTATGTTTACGTTAGGGAAATAAAGGAGAGAAGGGAGGAAAGGAAAAAATTTTTCCTTAATTTTTTTTGCT